GGCCTTCGGCCTCCGAGCTTTCCAAAGCCCCTGAGAGACTACCGGACCGCACCGAAAACCGCTAAACTCCAAACCATGAACCTTCGTTTCACCTTCTTTCCAATACTGTAAATATTGTAGCCGGGGCCATCTTCAGAGTTAGTACTAGTAGAAGTAGAAGTAGTAGTCGGAGCAGCTGCAGCAGCAGGAGTAGGAGTAGGAGAGAAGTAGGAGTAGGAGTAGGAGTAAGAGTAGGAGTAGGAGTAGCAGTAGTAGTAGTAGTAGTAGTAGTAGTAGTAGGAGTAGGAGTAGTCGTAGTCGTAGTAGTAGTAGTAGTAGTAGTAGTAGTAGGAGTAGTAGTAGTAGTAGTAGTAGTAGGAGTAGGAGTAGTCGTAGTAGTAGTAGTAGTAGTAGTAGTAGTAGTAGTGTCAAAAAACGACCCTAACGAGTTCAGAGACTCAACAAAGCTGCGCCCTGGTGAAGTTCGTGGCCTCAGAGCACAGGTTGTGGCGGCCTGCGAGCCCCTCCAGGCATTAGCCAGGCAAAGGGAGGAGGCGCCTGGGTTTAGGCTGTAGGGTTCAGTGCCGAAAAGGGTGGAAAGTTTAGGGTTTGGGGTTTGTCAAAGCTTTTTGAAATTCAGAGGCTTCCAGAAGGGTTGCTAGAAGGGTTTACTACCCGGGTTGTTGCTGTGAGCGGGATGTATAAGGCTACTCTATGCTACATGAGTTGCTACAATGATTTCGACAAGGGTTTCTACAAGGGGTGCTTCCGCCCACGAACTTTATGCAGATCTGCGTCAGAGGTTCAGGAAGCTATCTAGCAACTCTAAGCACTGAAGTACTTCTCCTCATACCCCAACCCCAACTCCCGAAATAGAAGGGCGAAATTCCTCTGCCAACTGAAGACTCTGAAACCCTAAAGCAACCTTGTCCCAGTTGTGAGTGCTGAAATCAACCCTGTGCAAACCCTGGCCCAGGCCATGCGGGTGAGCAAGGCGCAGCAACTGGCGCAGCAGGCAAGCTTCCGGGCGTTGAGGTTTTAGGATAGTACACCCACACACACAGATGCCCATCCATCTGCAAAATGCATGTACACAAACATATGCGTATATATGTTTGTAGGTCCGTAGGTAGGTAGGTAGGTAGGTAGGTAGGTAGGTAGGTAGGTAGGTAGGTAGGTAGGTAGGTGGGTAGTTGTATATTTGTGTTTGTGTGTATATGTACGTATGTATGTATGTATGTATGTATGTATGTATGTATGTATGTATGTATGTATGTATGTATGTTAATGTAACGCAATGTAATGTAATGCAATGCAATGCAATGCAATGCAATGTAATGTATTGTAATGTAATGTAATGTAATGTAATGTAATGTAATGTAATGTAATGTAATGCAATGCAGCACAATGTAATGTAATACACTGTAATCTAGTGTAAAGTAGTGTAATATAATGTCATGTAATGTAATGTGATGTAATGTTATGTTATGCAATGTAACCTTGCATGCAGATGCGTATGTGTGCATGCATTCATGCATGCAGGGCGTGGCTGTTCAAGAAAAAGATATGGATAGGATTTCATGCTGCACTTGATATGGTGATGTTAGTGCGGTTTTGGTAGGGGTTAAGAATCTCGCTTGTACAGCAAGCCGTGTTGGGCTCGACACTGGAATTCAAGGTCTCAGCAGCTCTACTTTACAGGGAACATCAGGGAGCTGAAGCCGCAAACGCACATACCCTGCCACATGGCACCAAGTTGTCGATCAGCTCGACATATTTTGCTGTAGGCTGACCAGCGTTGCAGCGCCAACTTGCCAGCCTGAGCCTCATGGGTGCTTAGAGAATTAGAATAGGGTTTTCGGGTGCATTATAATACAATTAGAATAAGGAACCCCAAACTAGTATAGGTAATTATTGAAGCTCTTATACTACACGCAACCAAGGTGCGTAACCACCCCACCACCACACTGGCAGCAAGCCTCGTTGCTCGATTGACCCCTTACTTTTTCATCGCTGCAATCGCTCGCCGCCAGCTGCATGCACGATTTCCCGTCCACGCTGAGCCTGGATCATTGCTCCTAGACCCTAAACCCGACTATCCCTATTATTATTATTATTAGTAGTAGTAGTAGTAGTAGCAGCAGAAGTAGTAGCAGTAGCAGTAGAAGAAGAAGTAGCAATAGTAGTAGTCGTAGTCGTGGTAGTCGTAGTAGT